CACTACAGACACCCCAAGAAAGCTAATTGATGACCACAGATGATCACCTGGGCTCTGGAAGGCACATCATCATCCAAGGCTGTTTCAACACATTGGAGTTTTTGTTTTCAGAAATCTCAGTGAACTTGAGGTGACCCTACAACTATGTCTACCTTGGCCAGAGGAGGGACACTTTTCCTTGTGGCCTAGCAGAAAGATGGCAGTGACTGGAGCTAAGAGGCAAGGCTGATTACAGACCCTAAGACCCTGAAGACTTGACATCCCTGTGACCAGGGCCTGCAGTCTCTCTTCTGCGGTTCCTGCAGTCTCAGCTCTTGGCTCTTTCTTGCTGTCTCTGGACACGCACTGCCCTTCTTCCTGTGCTGGCTGCTCTCCAGCTGTTGGTTGTCAAATCGTTGGCTGTCTGGACCCATTCACTGGTGCTCCTGCCGACCACTCAGATGTCTCCTGAGTCACCCACCATCTTCACTGATGTCTCTGCTGCTTCCTCCATCTTTTGTTTGTTTTTTGTTTTTCAAGACAGGTTTCTCTGTGTAGTCCTGGTTGTCCTGGAGCTCTCTTGGTAGACTGGGCTGGCCTTGAATTCACAGAGATCTGCTTGTCTCTGCCTCCTCTTGTAGGACTCTAACAGAGTCGCTGTATACAGGGTAATCATTAGAACAGTTGTTTTCTGTAAGTACCTTAAATAAATCTCGGTGGAAATCAGTGATTGTTTTCTGTGATTGATAGAGTTGTTTTTCTGAAACAGCTCTACAGCCTTTGCATGACTTTGGTCACCAGACACTGCCGGCCCACCTGAAGCTCTTGGATTATTGGGTACTGCAAACACAATAAGGACTATAGTAGCAGGGAGTGATGCCTTTCCTTCAGAAAAACATATAGATTAGATCAGGGACTTTGGTATGAGGAACTTGCTTACCCAAAAGATAACTTTGTGCAACAACCAATAAATATGCCTTTGTACAGCTGTTCAAGGTTCAGTCAGTCAGAGGCTGGACCTCCCTGCTGCCACACAGGCCTAAAAAATTCACTGTAGAATGACCTCTCTCTTTGGCCAACCCACACCACACAGAACACACGACAACCTCCTGAGTGCTGGGATTAAAGGTGTGCGCCACCACTGCCCGGTGTTGCTTCCTCTGTCTTGCTGCAAGCCACATGAATATATCATAAGAACTCCACTGGTTATGGCAAAGTCACTACCTGGAGGAATCAGGGAATTCCTCCAGAGGAAGCCAAATCCCAAGGTGTTTTTGGTGTTACTTGACTTGTTATATATCAGCTGTATTCTGTTATGAAAATCATGTGTGCCTTCATAGTTTTCCCAATTGACTTTTCCCTAAGAAGGGCTAACAGTGTGGACTGATCACTCTGGACATACACATTCCAGGTATTTGGAGAACAGCCTCAGGAAAGGCTTTCTCTGGAATCAGATTATCTCCCTTAGCCATTTTCAAGGACTACAGGAAACACCACCCAGGTGGGTGCCCAACTTCCGAGAATAACAATGATAACAGCCCACCTGCAAGTCTCCTGACTCAAATTCCACAAGGAGACACAGCCTAGGTCAGGTGGATGTTCAGTAATAGCTTTACACAATTTAGCTCTGACCCTCCTTTCTTACAGCCTTACTAACTTTATAGACCTCTAACTCCTTATCTAACCACTTCTAGGAATATTTGGATAACCTTCTGCACTGACAGCTATGCTCAGCCAGAACCCCAGTTCAAGCCTCCCTGTAATTATTGTCATTGGCAGCATCCAGCCAGGTCCATCCCCAGATGGAGGAAAGTACTTTATCAGAGATACTTCTGTACTCTCTAAGAACAGACTTAAGCATCCGGGCTACCAGTTTGAGAAGGCCTGGCAGATGTGCCAATTAAGCTTTACTTCCTCCTTTCCCAAACCTTATCTCTAGTTCCAGATCTCCCTTTAACTATCACCAGAGGCATCTAGCTGTACAGGTTGCCTAGCGACCGAGCACACTTTCCCCCACCCTGCAGAAAAATGGCAGATAGCTTGGACAGATATAAGTCACAGGAAAAAAGAAAACAGTTTTATTTTCTCCCATTGACCTAGCAACTTATAGATTCTTAACATTTTCTACCAATCACGTTTAAGATTATAGTTGTGCACATAAGAGCCCTCTTCTTAGATATTACCTGAATTTAGCCTTTAGTTAATTCATTTCCCCATTAGTCACTTCCCTTTTGGGTTGCAAATGATAATTAACGGTTATTGCCTCCCTGTGTGATTCTTATCACCCCTCCGTTTGACCCTGGAAGCCTGGCTTTGCACTGCTCAGGGAATACTGCTTGTAAGTGTATGTATACCAGGACTTCCAGGGCACGTGGAGGACACAGAAGAGAAAAGAGAATGGAAGAACTAGATGGGTAAGAACTTGAGAGGAACAAACTGAGATGGGGAAGAACTAGATTGAAGGGCTAGAAGAGAGGACTAGAGGAACGAGATGGAAGATGAGGAAGAGCCAGATGGGGAAGAACAAGATGAGGAAGAGCCAGATGAGAGAGAAGGAGATGGGAGAGGAGCTGATATGGGAAGGAACTAGATGGATGAGAACCTAGAAGGGACAGAACTAGATGAAGGAATTAAGATAGAACCTAGAGGGGACAGTAGATAAATATAGAGAAATCAGGCAAGAAAGGAGCTAGACATGAGAGCAGAATAGAAGCTGTGTAGAGAGAGAACTATCACAGAATAATAAAGTGTATGAACTAAGGAGTCTCGTGTACATAGATTCATTTCTTTTCATCAAAGATCAATTATCTGTAGATTCTCCCCGGACCCTGGGAGGGGACTATCGAGGGGCTGGACCCCCATAGTCCCCGATACGTCTTGAGTCTGCCAACTCTACTGAAAAGAGAAAAGAACAAAAACAACACCAAACCAAACCCCTCCAGTTGAGAAGCTACTGGGTGGACCTACAGCGCCCATGGCCAGCCCACTAGGTGGGCCTAAGCAGCCTGAGAAGGGTGTGTGGACCAATGACCAATCATAGCCATTTGCTTTGGACAAACTTCAGCTATTTGTTTTGGACCAATCACAGCCTTGTCTCTTAGCATCAATCATGGTCATCTGTTTGCTAGGGCACAGGAGATGTGTTCCCTCTCTTACTTAGATGGAAATAGTTGCAAGATTTAGAGTTCACTGAGGCTTCTTGATAAGCAACACGTTGGTATAAACAGATTTTGCAACAGCCCTTACTTATCAAAGCTGTGCCTTCAGGAGCTAAAGCAACAGTTCCAATTGTCAGTTTTCTCCAGGTGTCTGTGGGGTGTTCCAGCTGGCTGGTGCTGGCATAATCCAGTCCAGCTGGCTGTGTTACTGACACTTCTTTTATATAAGGCAGCAGAAGAAAGTCCTACAGCTGCTAATGAGGGAATTGATTGTCCCATTCCCCAAAGGCTCTGCTTATCCGATGGAAAATGAACCAGAAGGCATGCTTACAATACAAACCTCAAGAAACTATCATTAACATTTAATAGAGATTTTAACAGATACTTACAATGCTCTACAAATGTCTGACACCTGCTCAGTACCCGAGAAAGACATGGACTCCTTTTGTCTGTCTCACTGGCATAGAAGCATAATAGGATGGCAGAGATGGCAATATAAAATAAATTCATGAATGGATGCCCATGCTCCTATACATACCGTCTCACCCATGCGCCTCCTGTAAGCAACCCTAATGAAACCATTAAGAAAAAAAATTATTTTCTTAAAAAATCATTAAGAAGCTGCAGTGCTGGTGCATGCCTTTAATCCCAGAACCCAGGAGGCAGAGGCAAGTGGATCTCTGTGAGTTCGACACCAGCCTGGTCTACAGAGTGAGTTCCAGGACAGCCAGAACTGTTATGTGGAGAAACCCTGCCTTGAAAAATCAAAAAAAAAAAAAAAAAAAAAAAAAGCTAGAGAGATGTTTCAGTAGTTAAGAGTACTTGTTGCTCTTCCAGAGGATCCCAGTTCAGTCCCCCGCACCCACATCGGGCATCTCACAACCACATGCAACTCCAGTTCCAGGGGACCAAACATCCTCTTCTGTTCCTCACAGATACCTGCATGCACATGCACAAACACATATACACAAAGTGTAAAATAGAATAAAATACTTTAAAGATTTTTAAATGTTTAAAATCGAATAATTTTAATAAAATTTAAACAATTTTTAAAATGTTTAAAATGGAATAAAAGAAGAAAACAGCAAATATGAAAACAGCAGAAAGACTGGCCAGAAAGGAAGGTCATCAACAGGAATAGGAAGAGAACAACAAAAAAGTAAGGAGGGGGTATGTGAATGTGAGCTCTGTGAGTTTGAGGCCAGCCTGGTCTATAGAACGAGTTCCAGGACAGCCAGGGCTACACACAGAGAAACCCTGTCTCAAAAAAAACCATGAATGAATGAATGAATGAATGAATGAATGAATGAATAAATAAATAAGAAAAATTGCCAGAGTGAGTCAGGCATACAAAAGGAGGTTAAGAGACATGGACACTTAATCACTAGATGACGGCCGATATGTGCAGATAGATGTTCATGTATTTATTAAAATAGTAATCAAGCCAGGTGTGGCATCAGGACAGATGAAGCAGAGCCTGGTCTATATCGAGTTCCAGGTGGGACCTCATCAATGATGATGATGATGGTGATGATGATGATGATGATGGTGGTGGTGATGATGATAATGGTGGTGATGCCAAGAACATTTTATGAGTTTAGATCAATGTTTCACATAACGTGTATATATAACTAACCAAGCACGGTAATCCATACCTCTAATTCCAGCACTCTGGAGGCTGAGACAGGTATTCAGTCCAGCAGAGACTCCACCTCCCACCCCAGCCCCCACCCCAAGTCACATGCCAAGTGTGCTCCGGACAAAACGGAGCTGCACACTTAGGGCCGTGCGCTCACCCAAACGCTTAAAGCCAGAAGCAGCTGCAGCGTGAAGGGAGGAACCATCCGGGAGCGGGACGGGGAGGGGAGGGCAGATTGAGTGAGCTGAAGAAGCAGGGTCAGGACCAGGACCGCAAGGGTTCTGAAGCCTGGCAAGCGGCTGACCACAAGCACGGCGCGCGGAGGGGCTCTGCAAGGGTAGCCTGGAGGCTGCAGTGGGGGCTGGCGGCTTGTACTGGAGCGACCCCCCCCTTTTAGTGGACTCTGCGGCAGGCCGGCGGATCCCGCCAAACCACACTTCCCCAACTCCCCTCCCAGCCTTTGTCACCCGAGTTGTGATCTCCGGCCTGGAAGAGGAGATCCAGGGCACTGGCTATTGCCAGATCGGATCTCAGAACGCATTCAGGAACCAGACAGCGCCGGGCAGAGATCCTGCCCTTCGCCAACTCTGCTACTCCGGACTCGGGATCACGCTCCTTGGGCCCTGGGCCCATGGCCGATAAGAAACTGGTGGTGGTTTTTGGAGCCACAGGTGAGCGAGTCAGGCCTGGTAAGGTCGGCCGAGCCAGGGCCTTCTGCCCATCATTTGCAGGAAGATCTTGCAGGAAGAGTGGCTGTGGTTCCCACACATAGGGGTGGGCAGGGGCGGCAAAACCTGAGTGCAGATTGGTCTTGAATATATATATACTACGCCCATATATATATATATATATATATATATATATATATATATATATATATCTCACACCTTTTTTTTTTTTTTTTTGGTTTTTCGAGACAGGGTTTCTCTGTGTAGCTTTGCACCTCTCCTGGAACTCACTTGGTAGCCCAGGCTGGCCTCGAACTCACAGAGATCCGCCTGGCTCTGCCTCCCGAGTGCTGGGAATATCTCACACCTTTAATCCGAGGCCTAAGGCAGAGGCAGGTGGCTTTCTGAGAGTTCAAGGACAGATGGTCTACAGAGCAACTTCTGTATGTGTGTGTGCGCATGCATGTGCGCTGGCACGTGTATTTGCACAGAATACCAAAATTTTCTCCCTCCACCTCCCCAATTAACAAATTTTCTTGGTATTGTACCAGAGTATATGTAAATATTGGTGACATTTTCAAACAGCAGCTTGTTACTTTGCTTCCATAAACTTACCCGCCCTCTCTACCTGTTTTCCTTTCAGATATATTAATTCTTTAAAAAAAAAAAAACAAAAAACTTCCAGGGCTAATGATTCCTAGGACTTCCCAAATCCTGGGCAAGGGCAATACCTCTGAATTATATGCTGAACTGCTGAATCGTGCATGGTGGTCGTGGGGTTCTTCATCTATTTATTTTATGTTGTGTTTTTCAAGCATGTATGTCTGTGCACCGCATGTGCGATGCTTGACGAGGCTAGACATGGATACTGGATCCCCTGGAATTACAGTTATGATTGTCAGCCGACATGTGAGTGCTGGGAATCATGCCTTGACCCTCTGTATGAGCAGCCTTAACTGCAAAGCCACCTTTCCAGCCCCATTATTTATTTTATTTTGAGAAGGTTCTTACTATGTAAACATGTAAAGATTTAAGGCTAATCTCATCATTTGGGAGCAGAAGCAGGTGGATCTCTGACTTCTAGGCCAGCCAGGGTTACATAGCAAGACCCTTCTCAAAATAAATAATGGTGCTGGAAAGATTGGAAAGATGCCTTTTTTTTTTTTCCCCTGGCTGTCCTGGAACTCGCTCTGTAGACCAGGTTGGCCTCAAACTGACAGAGATCTGCCTGCCCCTGCCTCCTGAGTGCTGGGATTAAAGGTGTGTGCTACCACTGTCTGGTTATATCTTTATTCAAGAGAAGTCTCACTATGTAGCTCAGGTGGCCTTAAATTTGTTAAAACACTTATTAAATTTTATGTTGTGGGTGTACACATTGCCACTGGGCACGTTTGGAGGTTTAAAGTACAACTTTCAGAAAAAATGGTTCTCTCTTTCCAGCATTTGGGTCCCAGAGATGGAGCTCAGGTGTTAGGCTTGGCCTCAAGCCCCTTTATCCACCAAGCCACTCAATGGTTCAAGGCCTGGAACTTCTGATCCTGCTTCCTCAGCCTCCTCAGTGATGGCCTGTGGTCCACTATGTTTGTGGTGCAGGAGATGGAAGCCAAGGCTTCACACCAGTCAGATACTCTACCCCTGACTTGTGCCCCACCCCTACCTCCATTTATAGTTAAAAAAAGTTTTGATTTTGGTTTTGGTGTCTTGAGGCACAGTCTCACTTTGTAGGTCTGGCTGGCCAGAAACTCACTATGTATACCAAACCGGCTTTGAACTCAGAGATCCATCTACTCCTACTTTCTGAGTGCTGGGATTTAAGGCTTGTGCCACCACACCTGGCCCAATTTCCCTTTTTTAAGGTGGATTGTGTCATCCAAGGTGCCCTCCCTCGTCAGCTCCTGGAGTAGCTGAGACAACAGGTAGACTGGCCACTGCCTGGTTAGAAAATGTTATAAAAGGAGGCTGGGATGCCGGGCTGTGGTGGTGCAAGCCTTTAATCCCAGCACTCAGGAGGCAGAGGCAGGTGGATCTCTGTGAGTTCAAAGCCAGCCTGGTCTACAGAGCAAGTTCCAGCACAGCCAAGGCTCTTACACAGAGAAACCCTGTGTTAGGAAAGAAAAATAAATAAATAAAAAATAAGTAAGTAAGTAAGTAAGTAAGTAAATACATAAATGGAAGCTGGAGAGGTGGCTCAGGGTTAGAGCACTTGCTCTTGGTTTGGTTCCCAGCAACCCCACCTGGCTGCTCATAACTATAATTCCAGTTCCAGGGGATCTGAGAACATCTTCTGGCCTCCTCAGATACTGCACACACAGTACACATACATACATACATACATACATACATACATACAAACAAGCAAAATACTGATACACATAATAAAAATAAATAAAACTTTTTAAAAAATTAAAAAGGACACACATGTGCTGCTAGTTAGAAATGTAGATATAGGCCAATGAGATGGCTCAGCAAGGGGGAGTGCTTGCCATCAAAACTGACCACTTGGACCTTCACTTATGCATGTGTAAACACACACACACACAGCATAAATATGTGGAAAAACAAAAATGTAGATTAATCTTGAACTGACAGAAGTCAGTCACCAAAGGCCACAAATGTGATTCCATTTGCATAAAGTCAACAAAGGGCAAATCCCAAGTAAATTAATGGTTGACAAGTTAGTGGAGGGGAAATGGAAATGAGGTTCTTTTGGGGGTGAGGACACAGGATGGTAGAAGTGGATAAAAATGGTTACCCAAGCCAGGCGGTGGTGGTGCATGCCTTTAATCCCAGCACTCGGGAGGCAGAGCCAGGCGGATCTCTGTGAGTTCGAGGCCAGCCTAGACTGCCAAGTGAGTTCCAGGAAAGGCGCAAAGCTACACAGAGAAACCCTGTCTCGAAAAACCAAAAAAAAAAAAAAAAAAAAAAAAAAAAAAAAAAATGGTTACCCAAGCCAGGCGGTGGTGGTGCATGCCTTTAATCCCAGCACTTGGGAGGCAGAGGCAGGCGGATCTCTGTGAGTTCGAGGCCAGTCTGGTCTACAAAGCGAGTTCCAGGAAAGGCACAAAGCTACAGAGAAACCCTGTCTCAAAAAACCAAAAAAAAAAAAAATGGTTACACAATTCGGTGATTATATTAAAAAGCATTTTATTATACATTTTATCCCTTTGTTATTTTGTATGCATATGTATGGTGCTCGGGATTGAGCCTAGGGTCTCATGCATTCTAGGAAAACATACTATCACTGAACTACACCATCAGCCCTTGAATTATACATTTTAAAAAGGCAAAGAGCTGCTTACAGAAGACCTAACTTCAGTTCCCAGCACTCAGGTTGGGCTGCTCACAACTGTCTGTAACTCTGGTTTTAGGGGATCTAATGTCCTTTTCTGGCTTCCATGGACACCAGACACATATGTGCTACACATGCATACATGCAAACACTCATACACATAAAATACATCTTAAAAATAAAAGCAAACAGCATGCTGTGGTGGCTCATCCTGTATTCCCAACGTTCTGGAGAATGAGGTCAGAAGAAAAAACATTCAAAGTCTCTAAATAAAAAAACCTAGTAAGGAAGCTGAATGTGGTAGTGTATTTCTTTAATCCTAGCACTTGGGAGGCAGAGGCAGGGGGATCTCTGTGAGTTCAGGGCTAGCCTGGGCTACACAGTGAGATTCTGTGTAGCAACCTCCCCCCAAATCTAGAAAACCTAAAAGTAGTTTAAGAACACTGATGTGTTTCTGGACATGTTTGCCCTGGTGGAGCAATCCCTTCTGGGCCCTACTCTCTCTGACTCTGGCAGTTGTGACTCCGGAGATCTTTTTGACTCTTCACAGGGGCCCAAGGTGGCTCAGTGGCACGCACACTGCTGGAAGATGGGACATTCAGGGTTCGAGTGGTAACAAGGAATCCTGAGCAGGGAGCAGCCAAAGAGCTGAAGCTGCGGGGCGCTGAAGTCGTGCGAGGAGATCAGGACGACGAGGCTAGCATGGAGCTGGCACTGACGGGAGCTCATGCCGCCTTCATTGTGACCAACTACTGGGAAAAGTGCAGCCGGGACCGAGAGGTCAGGCAGGTAAGGGTTGAGGAGACGGGGCTTGGTTCAGCGTGTCTCGGACAAGGCCTGGGGACCCCAGCTGATCCAGAAGGCAGCTCGGACTTGCCAGGGAGGGCTAAGCACGTCAGGCCTTGCTCTTTTCTTGTTTCGCTTCAAACACAGATGAAGGACACCCTTGCCTAGCTCTTGAACCCCTGCATGGTAAACCACTACACCCTACAGCACATGGGACAAAGGTCTGGTTGGAACAGTTTGTCTCCTTAGTCCTGGGAAGCCCTTGTGAGCCCCCTGGGACTACAGTAACTATACTCCAGTCTAAAAGTTGGACATCCAGATTAAGTTGCCTATTATTGCTTGGTCTTTGGTCTTTTTGGGGGGACCTGCCCCACCCAGCTCCAAATAAATCACACATGGAGGCTTATTCATAATTATGACTGTCCAGCCTTAGCTTGGCTTTTTCTTGCCAGCTTTTCTTAACTTATCCCATCTACCTTTTGCCTCTGGGCTTTTCCCGTTCTCTTACTTCTGTAAATCTTACTCTCACTCTGTGGCTGGCTGTGGAGCTGGGTGGCTGTGTGGCTGGGTGGCTGGCCCGGAGTCCTCCTCCTCCTCCGGCTCCTTCTTTCACTCTTCTCTTCACTCCATCTCTTTTCTTCCTCCTCCCAGACTTCTCCTTCTACATATTCTCTGTCCGCCAGCCCCACCTATCTCTCTCTCCTGCCTCACTATTGGCCGTTCAGCTCTTTATTAGACCCCTCAGGTGTTTTAGACAGGCAAAGTAACACAGGTCCACAGAGTTAAACAAATGCAACATAAACAGAAGTTACACACCTTAAGATCATATTCTCCAACAGTTGCCAGCACGGTCACAGTCCCTTCTGGCACTCCAGGAAGAGTGCTTCCTCAGCTCTTCCAGCTTCTGTGGCTCTAGGTGTACCTAAGCTTATGTATCACACCAGTACATGCCTCCATATTCTCCTGGGTTCTTGTGGGTTTTATTTTGGCAGGGAAGGATAAGACAAGGTCTTCTATGTAGCCCAAGTGGGCCTGCAACTTGTAATCTTGAATGCTAGGATTATAGGCATATGCCACCATGTTTGGCTTATTATTATTATTTAATTTTTAAAAATTTTATGTTTATGGCATTGTCTGTTACTTTTCTATTGCTGTGAAGGGACACCATGACCAAGGTAACTTATATTTATTAGGGCTAACGGTTCCAGAGGGTTTGAGTCCATGATCATCATGGCAGGAAGCATGGCAGTGGAGGAGTATCCTGATCCATGGGTGTGAGGCTCAAAGAGAGCCACCTGGGAATGGTATAGGCCTTTGAAACCTCAAAACCCATCCCCAGTGACACACTTTCTCCAACAAAGTCATACCTCCTAATTCTTCCCAAACAGTCCCACCAGTGGGACCAAGTATTCAAGCCTCCGGGGGCTGTTCCCATTCAAACCACCACAGGTATCTTGTCCGCATGTCTGTCCATGTACCTCTTGCATGCAGTGTCCACAGAGACCAGAAGAGGGCATCAGATTCCCCTGGAGCTGGAGTTACATTGTGAGCTGCCATGTGGTGCTGGGAAATGAACCTGGGTTCTCTGTAAGAACAGCCAGTGCTTTTAACCAATGAGCCATCTCTCCAGCCCCATAGCTCTCTTCTCTTAGGAGGATATTTATTTTGGATTTTAGGATTCATGTGATTAATCTAAGATAATCAAATCTCAAGACTGTTAATGTTATTTACAAAGACCCTGTCCCCAAATCAAGTCATATTTAAAAGCTTGCAGGGGTAAGGTATGAGCAGATCTTTTAGGGGGCTGCGATTACATATCCCCAACTTTAATGGCATGGATCATTGTTTATTAACCAGTGGGGTCACAACAGTTGGACCACTCGTCCTGGGTCACACAGCCCAGATGAACCTGAGTGGCCTTTGTGCTTAGCCATCAAGCTGTAGCATCTCCAAAGATGACTCTGAGCTCACCAATCAAGTCAGCTAAGTTCTGCAGTCAGCAAAGATGGGGTATGCACATCAAAAAGGTTTCTAGCACCCCTTCCCAAGGCAGGCTTGCTCCCTTTTTAAGTGTTTTCTTTTTTTTTTTTTTTTTTTAAGATGGGGTCTTTGTAGCTGAAGTTGGCCTTGAACTCCTGATCTTCCTGACTTCACCTCTGACCTCACTTTCCCCTAGTGTGCACTGTTAGGTATAGTTAAGAAAACCCATGATTTTAAAGGTGACCCTGGAGTTTGAAAGCTTAGTGTAGTGCTGTATATGAGCATTATTCCAGAGCAGAGGACTTGGTAGGGGACAGGTAGGGGAGTCATGGAGTTAATCCATGTGTAGGGGAGGAAGGTCAGGGACACACAGCCTTTCTCTTACCTTTGTGGTCTCTCCTTCCTGCTTCCCAGGGCAAGCTTCTAGCAGATCTAGCCAAACGCCTGGGCCTCCATTATGTCGTCTACAGTGGCCTGGAGAACATCAGCAAGCTGACGGCGGGAAGGTTGGCAGCAGGCCACTTTGATGGCAAAGGGGAGGTGGAGGAGTATTTCCGAGACATTGGTGTTCCCATGACCAGTGTGCGGCTGCCTTGCTATTTTGAGAACCTTCTTTCCTATTTCCTGCCCCAGAAAGCTGCAGATGGAGAGAGTTACTTGCTGGGTGAGTGTGCCCTACCTTACACAGAGAAATACAGTTCGCAGCATAGGAAGTAACAGGTTTGGCCAAATGTGGGGTTGTCACCAGATCACTTTGTATCTAAGCCCGTGCTCCCTGACATTAGGCTTGAGACTGGGAGTCATCTAACTTAGGTAGGCCTCAACTTAAATTCTGTGAAATGGGTTTAACACAATGGTCCCTTGGAGTAATGAGAAAACCAGCCAAGGTTATCACTGCTCTTAGAACGGGAAGTGGAAGATGTAGATAGTGTCTGCCATCCAGTCTGTAAACAAACTGGATGCCTGACTCAGCTTGGAAGGAACCTCAGCTAACTTGTGTCCTTCCAGTTGGTCAGTGGATTAGAGCAGGAGGTACTAGAGGCCAAAGCTGGAGGGGCTGCTGCCTGCTGGCCATTCCTTGCCCTGTGACTGTCATTCACCTTCATGTGAGGATACAGGTGTTGGCACAGAGTTTAGGAGTCCTACCCGCCCAGTGAACGACAGACCACTAGTAAAGACTTAGAGTTTGTAGAACTTGAGAACTGCTACATGAAGACAGACCAACACTGATATGTGTGGATGCCCAGAGGACTAGCTGCTGGGAAGCCAGCTGCCAATCTCTCCCCGAGGAACTCTGTCCCTGCTAGCACACTTATCTGTCCTCACAGAGTTGCCCATGGGTGATGTCCCCATGGATGGAATGGCGGTGAGTGACCTGGGCCCCGTGGTGCTCAGCTTGCTGAAGAAGCCAGAGGAGTATGTAGGGCAGAACATTGGACTCAGCACCTGCAGGCACACTGCAGAGGAGTATGCTGCCCTGCTGACCAGACACACTGGCAAGACTGTACATCATGCAAAGGTGGGCTCCTCCCTCCCCAGAGCTGTGAAGCCCCAGATCTTGCAAAATGTCCCTAACTCCCAAAGGGTTATTATTGTTTGTTTGTTTTGAGACAGGCAGGTGGATCTCTGTGAGTTCGAGGCCAGTCTGGTCTGCAGACTGAGTTCCAGGACAGCCAGGGCTACACAGAGAAACCCACCAGGGGTGGTGAGGTGGGGTGGATAAATAATAGAAAGGGCACTAAGTGGCCATATGGCTTTAAAAAGAGGTGGGACTAAGCCAGGGTTGTGGAGGACCTAAGGAGCTCAAGAGTTCAGATTGGTTTGAAAGAAAAAGGAATAGTTTTGTCTTTTGAACAAGGAAGTGATGTAGCTGATTTCAGCTCTGAGAGGCACTGATGGGTTTCAAATCATGACTTTGAAAGAACAGCCTTTAAACCGATCGGTGTCAGGTAGCCTGTGAGGAGCCACGGTTTCCATACTTCTGTCTTTCTAGTTGGTAGTGTTCGCGTGGCCTCATAGTGAGGACCTGAGTTAGTGACTGCAGGACCAACACAGCTATACCCTGGCTTCCCAGGACTCGGCAGGAAGCCAGGCCTACCTGGCATCACCAGGGCTGTGGAGGAAATAGGCATGTGGGCTTTCTGTTTCCAGACAACTCCTGAGGAATATGAGAAGCTTGGCTTCCCAGGGGCCCGAGACTTGGCCAACATGTTCCGTTTCTATGCCCTGAAACCTGACCGCAACATTGATCTAACCCTGCAACTCAACCCCAGGGCCCAAACGCTGGACCAGTGGTTAGCACAGCACAGAGGGGACTTTGCACAGCTGTGATCCTGAAGCCCTCAGCTGGGGACGAAGAGGTACAGCCATCCTTTCTTGTGTACAGTTTTGGGGGGGGGGGGTTGTTTTGTTTTCCCAAATAAAACCATTGTTCTCACAGATAGTTTCCCAAAAGAAAAGGCCTCTTGTTTGTGGGAAGTGAGCTGGAGTGGCCGATGCATGAAAATGGGCCTTGATAGCATGGAAGTGCTGGTAGGCGGCACCAAGTAGGCACAAGGGCTCATTTGCTTATCACCTCAGCCCCAAGAAGAGCACTGAGCAGTGTGCACACACAATCCACAGGGGATCAGGTAAAGCAGAGTCTCAGCCAGCCACCAGCAGCCTTTGACACCCGGCAGGCAGGGCCAGAGGCACTGAGGCCACCCATGCATTCGTTCTGAATGAGGACAGAAGACTGATGTAGAAGTCCTGGACCCTTGTCTTTTTCCTCTCTTCACCAGAACTCTGGCCAGGTGTAGCCAAGCTGGAAATAACCTTCCAAGGGGGCAGGAAAAAGCAATGGGGCTAGGGAGAGGGCTCAGTGAAGTGCTTGCTGGCTGTGCAAGCCTGAGATCCCGAGTTCGGATTCCTGGCACCCACTTACACAAACAGGCAGGTGGGGACCTATAATCACAGGAAGGTCTCTGCAGCTCACTAGCCCACTAGCTCACTCGAACCAGTGAGCGCCAGGCCTGCCTCACAAAATGAGGTGGGGAGTGACGAAAGGAGAGCATCTAACATCAGTTTCCGGTCTTCATGCTTACCCAGGCACATTCACCTGTACCTGTGTGACATGTACACAAGCATACAACACATCCATACAGAAAGAACAAATGAAACGTGGCAGAGCTGTGGACCACTGGAGATGAGGTGATGTTGCCTGTGTCTAAGACCAACATTATGGGTCAGCTTACCTCTAAGCCCTTCACAGGGAGCAACAAAGGCCCAGAAAGCCCAAACACCAGCTGAGATTTCATGGCAAGTCTGTGACTTTCCACCATTGTATGGGTTTGTCTAACCACTGGCACACTGTCTTTTTACTGTCCTTCGCTGACATCAGACTCCGAGCAGGAAAAGGAGCAGCAATCCCACCATGCATTCTACCAGAGACTCTTGACTGAGGCATGTCCCTGACAACTAACTGTGCCACACCTTAAAATACGGGGTAAACAGACAAGTTATACTGTCTGCCTTGAGGCAACTTTTTGAGACAGTTTCTCTGTGTAGCCCTGGCTATCCTGGAACTTGCTCTGTAGCCCAGGCTGGCCTTAAGCTGAGAGATTCACCTGCCTCTGCCTCCCAGTGCTGGGACTAAAGGTGTGAGCCACCACCACCCTGATGAAGAACTTACTTAGTGGGAAGGCCACACACACACACACACACACACACACAGAGAGAGAGAGAGAGAGAGAGAGAGAGAGAGAGAGAGAGAGAGAGAGAGAGAAGCAAAACTGTTACAGACCTCAAGCTGCAAAGAACAGATGGAAATAAGCAGCAGGTGGCTGGGGAGTCTGAGGTTAGGGTTCTGAGTGAAATTAAGAGGTAGGGCACGAGTGCCAAAGGCCCTGGGCTTCATCCCCAGCACCAAAAGGATGAAAAGTTTAAGGAGAAGACCAATCAGTCAGGACAAAGCTGGCCTCAGGAGGAAATACCTATGCTGAGTTCTGTGGGGAAGGGCAGGGGCCTTCCCAGCAGAGTAGACAGTAACAAGAGTGGACTTCTGAGCCCACGGAGTCAGGAGACCCACAGGTTGTCTCTACGTGCTGCTCTATGATGCTCCACCTAAGCCTGGGAAAGCCTGCCAGAATCAATGTCCAGAGTGGACACCGAGTACCAGCCAGCTCCTCACTAGAGAGTGGCAGGATCAGGGCCATACGCTGCCCACCCCAGGTGTTTACTTATCTGGTTCCACCTCCTGGGCTGTTGTGAAGACACGGCCAACCCACTTGTACAAAATAGTGCCTAGCACTTCAAGTGCCCTGTGTTTCGTCTGCCACACCAAGGCAGAGCCCTGCTAACCTCCACATGCCCTTCAGCTTGGTTTGTGTTCCTCTGAATGGTAGCCTCCACTGCAGAGCACAGTGGGAGCATCCCAAGTTCCCAATGAAGCTGAGTGGAGAGCCACACACAGTGCTCTTTAGGTTGTTTGTTCTATGTGTCACAAATTATCTGCACTGCACACAAAACACCTTGTATTACAAACCATTTTACCAAAATGAGACAGTCATGTCCACCTCTTCATTTTCCCATCTCCTGCTATAGCTAAATGTCTCGAGGCACAGGCTCTTCCTCTACATACAACTGCAGACCTTGGACTGTATTCTGTTTGGCCACAAACAGCACAGGAAACCTCCTGTAATCCCAGGAGGCGAGGTGCTGAGGACCCAAACAGAGGGGACAACCAGTCCTCCAGGTCTCACGTAGCCTGTGGCGTTAAATTCACTATGTTGCTAAGACTGGCCTTGAATTTCTGCCTCCATCTCCCATATGATGCTCCAGCATTTTCAAGTAGACTATCTTATACCCTAGTTCCAGCTCAGAGGCTACAAAGTCTAAAAACAAATGCCTCAGGAGCTATGTGTAGAAATAAGCCCACCTAGGCCTGGAGATGAGACTTCATTCTATAGATGCTGCCCAGCCACCTTTTATCCACCTAAGAGTCCTCAACAAGTCAATAATGATGCCCTAGCCAAAAGACCCACCTACCTCTTCCAAGTCTCTTCCTAGCCTCTGAGACCTGGCTGACTTCTTCAGAAAGAAACCTTCCTGAGAACATTGTCTAGCCCCACTACTGTTGTGTCCCAGTGTTTAGTGTGGTACCTGGCCCACACTGCATACTCACAGCAGGTATATCACAAAATAAACATTTTACTGCAAAAAATATTGGCAGGTATTCAAGTTAACAGAACGTTACTCTTGAATCTTTTTTACCCATCAGCTTTCACCCCCATCTCTTCCCTACCATCTCTTTCCTGCCCAGCCCAGCCCAGTGAATCCTTCCATACCTCTCTCTGCTTATCTCAAAAGCCATTAAGGCTCTGCTGGAAGCCCGGACTAGTGAAAGTACACTAAGCAAAACTATATATATATATGCTTTGTTGTTTTTTTTTAAAGACAGAGTTTTGGTGTGTAACCCTAGCTGGTCTGGAATTTGTTAAGTAGACCTGGCTAGCCTCAAATTCACAGATCTGCTTGCCTCTGCCTCTAAGTTCTGGGATTAAAGGCATGTGCCCCCATACTCAGACAGCAATAAGCAAAAACCAACCTTCAGGAATTGGGTCTCTCCTTCCACATGGGTCCCAGGGATTGAATTCAGTTCATCAGGCTTGTTGGCAAGCACTTTTACCCAGTCATCCTGCCAGGTTCAGAAAGTTTAATATGGGGGATTGGTGAGATGGCTCATCAGTTAGGAGCATTTGCTGCTCTTGTAGAGGACCTGAGTTTGGTTCCTAGTGCCCACATAGTAGCTAACAACTAATTCCTTGTTATTTCAGTTCCCAGAAGACACAACACCCTCTTCTGGTCTCTGGGCACTGTACACAAGTGGTACATAGATGTGTGTGGACAAAACTCCCATATGCAGGTTTTTTGGTTTTTGTTTTTAAATGTAATATAGGAAAATGCAGCTAAGGGAATAGCTCAGTAGAGCACTTGCCTAGCATGCCTGAGGTCCTGGGTTCAACACCAGGTACCACCTTTAAAAAAAAGGAGTTCCAGCTTGGACTACATAGCAAAACAAAGACTGAAAAATAGAAAAACCATCGAAGGACACAGTGAGCACATGCATATTTCTCAGCTGGGCTCTCTAATCTACTAGGTTCAAGAGTTTGCACACAGAGGAACATTGTCTCCTGGCAAGGGCCTGTTCTGGAAATGGGGGTAGGGGATCTACCGTCAGGGCACTAGATCCACCTTGCTGGCATCAAGAGGAATCTGAACTAGCAGACACTGCTAGCTGACTTCTGCTGCTGCTGGCTCTGCTGGGCCACCTGTAGAAGCTAGTTTGAACTCTCAAAGAAGAAATGACCACAGTTTTGGTTTTAAATATCTTTTGTAGTAGATCATCTTATTTACATTGATACAGAATCACTTTACATTCTTAAATCAGACACTAAGAAATGCTTTACTTTTGTAAATTATAAAGGAAAAGAAAGAAACTACAGAGAAAGTGTTCTTTATTAGCCTGTCTTACACTAGCTCCAAGACCTTGGAACACACAGAAACTGCAACATGCTACCAGCAGAGGCTGGAAATGAGGCTGCTCTGCACAGTGTGCTTCCCCTCAACATCTACACAGGAAAAGACAATGATTCTTACCATTGAGTAATTTAAATACACCGTGGAAATCAAATGTCAGCAGTGGAAGAGGGGAGAACCAAGCCCCGGCTGGCAAAGGTCGGGGTCTCCAGAGGCTCAAGGCTGTCCCACATGACCATGGTAACTTTGGTCCAACAGGGCAGGAAACACACCCCCCCCCCCCCCCCCCCCCCCCCCACTAAACTAGAACAATCTAATCAGCGTCAGGCAAGCTGCCATCTGAGGTGAAGTGGATAGAGGGACTGTGTTGCACAACTCTGCCTCCCAGGGCCCTAGTACCCACTCTCCAGCTGCTCGGTACCTTCAATAAAACAAAAGCAAACCAACTCTAAGAGGTGTACAGACCCTCCGCAGAGCCCGTCAGGGAGGGCGGCACTGGAAGGTGTGCCGCCCGCCCCTGGGGCCTAAGAAGACTACCTGTTGGGAAGGACATATTTCAGAACCTCCACGAGGTTTGTGGAGAGGGAATTAATCACTTCACAATGCTGTGCAGCTTAAGGCTTCATTTTAAGCTGTAAGCACGGCCTTTAATTTTTTTAAGCTCTCTATTACATGCGATTCCAGATTATTTTTAGTGCTGCAAGAAGAGTCCAAGTATCGTACCCTGCCTAAACCAGAAGCATGTCACCTACCAGTGGACAGGCTATCTCACCAGCCCGAAGGCCACACATCACTGCCTAGGGGCTGTCACCATGACCTTCTACGTAGAGAGGTGTCCACACATAGTTTTGCTGTTGCTGAGTGGTTCAGAGGGCTGTGTAGGCAGGGCTCCATGCTGCTATTTTGGGGTCCTCCTGTGTCAGATGCCCTGGCCATGGAGAGGGGCTGCTGCTCCTCATCTAGTTTCCAGCTGATCGTTTTCCTGAGCCAAGGAGACAAACAGTTAGACTCCACATCTCAGAAGAACACATCCCTGTGGGAGAGGCTCAGTTAATCCCAGGAGAATGGCTGCGCTTCGAGGGTCAAGAGCCCCAGGACCTGGGGTGAACATAAACAACAGTGTGTCTCTAGGCACAGAAAACAACCACTGTTCCTCAGCAGCCCCAGACCTACACAGCACCATGCTGCCTAGGTACAACAGGGTGGAAAAAGCAGGTGCGAGGTGGAGGAGATCTGAGTTCTAGGCTTGGCTCCGCCACAATCTGCCTTCTGGACTGTGGGCAAGCAGGTCCCACCACTGAGGGACAGAGCCCCTGGAAAATGACATAAGGTGGGCTCTAACTTAGCCCCAAATTCAACCCATCTAGGAAGGAATCTAAATCGAATTTGAATGAAAAGGCTAAGTACCACATGCTCTGCTCCAAGGAATGAGAGGATACCACATATACTACACCTTTGATTGGCACCTCTCCCACTTCTGGGGTAGGGTAGGGTGGGGTCCAATGTTGGTTAAAGTGACCAGAAGAGAGATTAGTTCACTGAGGGAAACAGGGAAGAAAGCTCACAGGTTTTCCTACCTCAGCAGGGGTATCAGGAAGTAAACATTTTCTTAAGTTTGGAAAGGAATCCCTCATTGTCCTCCCCAGCCTCTCGCCTATCCTTGCTTTCTGCGCAGCTATCCATGGTTCTGCCACCTGGGCACAAACAGCAGAAAGAACCAAGGTCAAGATCGCACACCTCCATGTAGCAAGCACCATCCCCACCTACCCATGCCTAGCTGCCCAGGGGCTGGCACTCAAAGGGCAGCCAAGGGCCACTCGAGGAACACAGGAACACTCTCAAGTGTTAGAGTAAAGCAAATGGGACACTCAGAGCCTCAGGACATCACAATTCTCCTTGGAGTCAGAGACCCATAGAAGGGAAACGAGAAAAAAGAGGGAGAGAGACTGTCTATAATCTGCACACTAACAAGAAAGGCAACACTAAATGCCAGAGGGCTTGAGGCTAAGCCACACAGCTTATACACAGTAGTTCATCATCTTAGCATATTTAATGTGTACATATCACAGCTGCATGTACACAGAAGCAATGTTGTCAGGTCCACCTAGAATCCCAAAGTCAGGCAGCAGGAAGTGGAACTAAGCTCAAACCCAGTCCAGGCTCTTAACCACTAAACTACTGGCTACAAGATAATCAATAAACCTCAAGAAAATATCCAATTTCTGAGCCCACTGCATATTTCTGCTGCCTAGTGTACACATTAACATGCCCAAGATAACCAGTGAGGGAACCACTCTTACACCAGATCCTCTGCTGTACACTGCAACTTGTCTCTCACAATGCCAGGGAGGTGTATATTACTCTGGCATCTAACTCTGACTGCTGCAGATAATGCACAACTGCAATGGATGGTTTTTAGAGCCAAGACTGAGGTTACCCACCTCGTCACAAGAAACTTGCCAACCTTGAAAGATGGAGGCAAACCTTTGCTGTGAGTTAAACTATATACCTATAACACCATTTTGTTTGTTTTGGCTTTTCTTTATTTGTGACAAGGTCTCATAGCCCAAGCTGACCTTGGACTCACTCTGTAGCCCAGACTGGCTTTCAGCTATTGGTCCTTCTGTTCCACTACTCCTAGGTATAGGTATAAGCCACCATGCCTGGTAATTTTTACATTTATGTACTTTGTGTGTATAAGCATGTGTGTGGAAGTGCATATACAGGTGCATGGACCAGTACATGTGGAGGTCAGAGGACAGCTTGTGAGGGTCAGTTCTGTCCTTCCACCAAGTGGGCTCCAGGAAACAAACTCTGCTTGTCAGGGTTGGAGGCAAGCAGGCTTACCTGCTGAGCCATCTTAACAGGCTTACAGAGCATGTTTTTAATATTGCTGACACACATCCCTTATACGGCATACAACCAATTAAAAGAGCCTGGTGTGGTGGTATAACTTTTAATCCCTGCATCTGAGAGGCAGACAGCCAGATCTCTTTGGGTTTGAGGCTAGCCTGGTTGATACAGCGAGTTCCAGGCTATCCAAGGCTACATAGTAAAGCCTTATTTCAAGAAAATAAAAATAAAATAAATAGTCCCAGCTTCCAACAGCTATCAGGTCTGAGTCAGTGGAGGCTCTTCAGAGGGAGGTATCCAAAGCTCAGAGGCACAGATCTGGGAACAAGGGTAGGGTGGGGTCCGAAGTTTCATGGAACACTGCCCTCTAACATAACCACCACTGTCCTAGCAGCTAGGACTACCTGCAAGGTACTCTCAAAATTGGTAATATCCTTCTGATAATCTTGAAGGCTAGCTTGGGGAGAGGGTCATGGGACCCTCCTCCCCTCCCTCCTGCACCTCCTGCTAGCCGTATGTAATTCCACCCCACAGTGTGTGTTCTCGGAAGGGGACTGAAAGGGGAGCTCCAGGGTGCAGCTGCCATTATGTCGTCATCCATGTGGAGGACTTTCTGCAGTGCGATTATATGGAGGTCATGTCTCCCCCAATTCTGCTCCTCTTCTTTTGTTTTTTTGAGACAGGGTTTCTTGTGTAGCCTTGGCTCTGTAGACAAGCCTGGCCTCAAAGATTCTCCTACCTCTGCCTCCCAAGTACTGGGCTTAAAGGTGGGCACCACTACTGCCAGGCTTAATTTACTATTTCATTCATGAAGATAATGTATCTTGATCATATTTACCCCTACTCTCCCCAGGAACTCCCAGCACAAAGACTTTGAAATTCTGAATCACATGCTTGTGACCAGTTCTGAGTGCTGCATAAATACAGCATTTTCTCTCAGAGCCTGCTTTCTGAGGACTAGCTGGGGTGGAGGAGGCAGGATGTGTCCTAGGTACCAGGACACAAACTTGAGCCCTTGGCTTCCAAGGCTGCTGTTGCTACTTCGAGGCAGGGTGTCCTTGAACTCCCAATTCTCCTGCCTTAGCCTCCCTCCTGAGAGCCGGGATTATAGGTTTGTGTCAACATCTGGCTCTAAAGGTGCTTTCCATAAGCCGGGGACAGACCCCTATGCTTTAGACTAAGCAGGAAGGTCACTGCCCCAAGGCAGTCTGTTCCAGCTTAAAGAGTACCAGCCCTCAGTGCTCCATCATGCCACCAGCTGGCAGTACAGCAGGGGGAAGCTGGGGATGCAAACCGCTCTAGTAGAACTCTAGTTCCCACCACTCACGAGCCTCAGGCAGAGGGCCTTCAATTCCACACCAGTCTCGGCAACATAGCAAGGCTGTCTTATAGACAAAACCAAACTAAAACAACCAGCCAAATAAAAGCCCAAATCAAAAGCAAACAACAAACCCTACAATTTTGCTAAATGTCAGAAATAAGAAAGATTTTAGGTCTAGAAAAAGTTGACTACTGGATTATCTGCACTGCAGTACTTCTCCAAGTGGATTCTAAGAGTGACTTTCTTCATAGCCTCAGGAGCAGCTTATTCAAACCCAGGTGACAGCACTCAAAGCCTGTACTGAGTAGTTGTGTTCCTCTGTTCTGGTGTGGGGTGTTGAGCCACAGTCTCACTATGTAACCCGGCATTGCCTGGAACTCACTATATAAACCAGGCTGGCATTATATTTATGGTGATCCTCTGGCCTCTGCCTCCTGAGTGTAGGGATTGCAGGTGTGTGGAACAATGCCCAGTGTGCATGTGGCGGTCAGGACAACGTGGTGGGATTGGTTTTCTCCTTCCACTAAGTGGATTCCAGGGTTAAGCTCAGGTCACCAGGCTTGGAGGCGAGGACGTTTACCCACTGCACCAACTTGGGGCCTCTTCTTATTATTTTGTTAGTGTAGGGGTAGTTTCATCTGTCTCAAGCTAGTCTTTAACTCTCGATGTAGCCAAGAATGCTCATGAACTTTGGCCCTCCTGCTTGCACCTCCCAAATGCTAGGGTTACAGGCCTGCACACCTTGTTCATGTGATACTGAACATCAAACCCAAGGAGGCCTACAAAGTCATATCTGGGAGTCAAATTCCCATTGGGATACAATTTTGAAAAAAATGACAACAGATTAATAGAAGAAAAATAGTATCGATATTTGACCATGGGGAAATGCCAATGCCCCAACCTGAGCCCAGCCCTGTAGAACATTAGCTCCCTGGTGGGCAGAAGAAGAAAACAGTTGTGTGCAGAATAAATCTCATATATTATGAGATCTTGGGGGTATGTGAGGAAGAAGTTACAGGTTCACAATGAGAATTCTATGGAAGAACAGTCCCACTTTCTATTTAGTTTAAAGATAAAACAAATGAGCTGGTATGGTGGCACAAGCCTTAATCCC